AACAAGCAAGTACCACAAGAACAATTATCACTGATTGTATGCTTCGGGCTACTTCAGGAGATTAGAATTTCGAAATGAAACCTTTATTTCGCCCACCGGGGTAAATTGTTCTAGTTCCACGTGCCACGACCCTTCCAGATGTCTCAGTTATTTCCCTTTAACTAAACTTTCCGAGTTCTTTGAATCCAGTGACTTGACGCCAAACAGTTGTGAGTTCAATATCTGGCTACTGCAGTAGCGGACAAAAAACTTGGATAGTTGAGTTAAACGGAGATAACCGAGACATCCGGAAGAGGCATGGCACGTGGAACTAGAACAATCTGCCCAGGTGGACGAAATAAAGAGTTTGGTTTGAAATTCCAATCATCCTGAGGAAGGCAGGAGTGTACAACGGCCCAGGCAGAGTGAATATGCAAATAATGCTGAGGACTATAGTATAAATAGTTAAAATACCTCATCTCAGAAATATAGGCAGATTCGGAAGAAGGCCTGAGCGTACAACGGTCGAAATGTCGTGAATATGCTAATAAAGATGAGGGCAACAGTCCGAACAATGTAAATAGTATAAATAATTACAATGCCTCATATCAGAAATAAAAACAGATCCTGAAGAAGTCCGGAGCATACAACGACCGAAACATTGGGAATGTGGTAATAAAAATGAGGACAACTGTTCGAACAATGTAAATAGTGTAAATAATTGCAATACTTCATCTCAGAAATATAGACAGATCCTGAAGAAGGCCGGAGCGTACAACGGCCGAAACGTTGTGAATGTGGTAATAAAAATGTGGACAACTGCTCGAACAATGTAAATAGTGTAAATAATTACAATACTTCATTTTAGAAATATAGACAGATCCTGAAGAAGGCCGGAGCGTACAACGACCGAAACGTTGTGAATATGGTAATACAGATGAGGACATCAGTTCCAACAATGTAAATAATTACAATGCCTCATCTCAGAAATTTAGAAAATTAAGATTGAGTAGTGAGTTCGATCCTCACTGCGTGCGCCATATTTTCGGGCCTTGTGTCATAGCTAAGCTACGCTTCGAAAATCCTTTAGGGCACTTAGACGTGGTCTACTGATTAGTGAGCTTTTTTCGTTAGAATAATTACAACTGAGTAACTAAAGAAAAAGTTTGTAAGTCAGAGATTGATTCACAATTTATTTACAAGAACAGCCCCCCCCCTGTAAAATGATAAAAAAAAGTCTATTCTGGTAAATGTCCCTAATAGGGAAATGTCTGACGAATTTTAATCTATAAAAAATCTATATAATCTATTTAGTCCTCCCACTACAAATATTTACAATCGGACCAACCAACTTAAATAGTGCCAATGATTTTTAATTGGGAAACAGACTTTATGAAAATTCTAAAATTTTATTAAATTTTTATTCAATTCTAAAAAAAAAAAGCATTTAAATACTGTCGTCTTTCCTCGTTGTTTTAAAAGCTGGTCTGGAGCCCCTTCTGTTTGCCTCAAGGTCCTTGATAAAATCCAGAGACGGATATGCAATGTAATTGGCCCTGATCTGGCATCTCGTCAGCAGTCGCTCTTTTACAAATGTGCTGTCGCCTCCCTCTGTCTTTTTTTAAAAATACTTTCACGGTAACTGCTCCGATTTCGTTGCTTTCGTTGGTTACCAGACTTCATGAATTTAAGCGTTCTATTAGGCTGGCATCTCGCTCACACCCTTTCACTCTCGAAACTGTTAAATGTAGCCGTCTCTTCTATTCCAATAGCTTCATGTCTCGCACCTCTCGCCTGTGGAACTCCCTCCCCTTTTCCTGTTTCCCTGATAGCTATAATCTCCACTATTCAAATGTAATGTCAATCGACCTCTCCAGTTGCCTTGATCTATCCACTATCCTTCTCTTCATCCTTTCCTCTATCACTCCTATTTGCTCTCGCTCCAACTCTCTTTAACCCCTTGCGTGCTAGTGGCTTCCTGCCTAGCTTGGGGTGAAAAGCTTAAAAAAAGAAAAGAAAAAAGATATGACAGCGAAAAGAAAATTTGGTGGGGTGGATTGGTGAGTTTAAAACTTCGCCATAATTAACGCATTTCTCCATAATTCACGCATTTCCCCAAAATTCACGCATTTCCCCATAATTCACGCTTTTCACCATAACTCACGCTTTTCCCCATAATTCACGCTTTCCCCATAATTCACGCTTTTCACCATAAATCACGCTTTTCCCCATAATTCACGCATTTCCCCATAATTCACGCTTTTCACCATAAATCACGCTTTTCCCTATAATTCACGCATTTCCCCATAATTCACGCTTTCCCCCATAATTCAAGCTTTTCACCATAATTCACGCATTTCCTCATAATTCACGCATTTCCCCATAATTCACTCTTTTCACCATAAATCCCGCTTTTCCGCATAATTCACGCTTTCCCCCATAATTCACGCTTTTCACCATAAATCGCGCTTTTCCCCATAATTCACGCATTTCCCCATAATTCACCCTTTTCACCATAAATCACGCTTTTCCCCATAATTCACGCATTTCCCCATAATTTAAGCTTTTCACTAAAATTCACGCTTTTCCCCATAATTCACGCATTTCCTCATAATTCAAGCTTTTCACCATAATTCACGCTTTTCACCATAAATCACGCTTTTCGACATAATTCACGCATTTCCCCATAATTCACGCATTTCTTCATAATTCAAGCGTTTCACCATAATTCACGCTTTTCACCATAATTCACGCTTTTCACCATAAATTACGATTTTACCATAATTTACGCTTTTCCCCATAATTCAAGCTTTTCACCATAATTCACGCATTTCCCCATAATTCACGCATTTCCCCATAATTCACGCTTTTCACCATAATTCACGCTTTCCCCCATAATTTCAAAGCTACATGCAACAATGCTCGGCGATTCACTAAGCAAAGAAATCTGGAAGAAAAGAAAGAAACATTTTATAAACTCTTTTTGAAATCATTTGCCGTATGACGTACCATTCCTTCATTCAAATAAATTGAATTCTGGACTAACTCCTCACGCCTCCTCGGGTATTTCAATCCTTCAAGCTCTTTTTACCAACCTCTTCGCTTATTAAATATTGAAAATATAATGCAACCTCCACGATTATCTGCGGCCCAAGGGTAATTGTTTTATGTCTAACTGCCTTCTGAAAGGATACTATCAAAAATCTTTATCGCCAAACTTCAAGAAAGATTAATAGTATAATCAGTTTGTAGTTATGATAGACAGAGCAACGCTTTTTTTTGACTCCCAGGCATTTGCATAGATGTACAATTAGATGCAAAATGTCGTCTGGTAACTATCTGCATCATTTTCCTCCTCAAATTGACAAAGAACTCAAAGTCAAATAACGAAAGGGCTCATTTTCAAATTGACACAGATACAAATGTCAAATTTACTGTTGACACGTGACTCATAGTAAAACTTCTTGTCTATCTCTTAATTTACTATATATTTTATATCTCTTTACTTAACACATGCAAATAGATACAATCTCATTTACCAATTCACTACACCTCCCTGAACAGAAGTGGTTTAATACGACTGGTTCTTCTCGAACTTCTATTATTATTCTATTAACATCTTTCCTCTTTTCTCCCTTGAGTTTTATGCCCTGACCTTTTAATGGAGATCTTGATCTCATTTCATCTTCTTCAGTATCTGAGTCACTTCCGCTATCATCCATAGCATCATTTTCTATTGCATTGTCCTGATCTGAAGAACTCACCCTTTCTTCTCTGTCAAGATCTTCCTCCATCACGACGTTTTCCTCTTTACACTGCGTGCCAAATTATTATCGAGATAACTTTTTTCTAATATTTCAAAAAGCGTCCAATCAATTCACCCAGAATTTTCACACAGTGTTGGCAACCCTGAGCTGCGCAATCACTGAAATTTTCGTACTGATCTACGCAAGGTAAACAAACTGGCGCCATATTTGTTATCAGCACGGTGATTTGAGCGTGCCAAATTATTAGAAAAGTATAAGAATTTAGTGAAAAGATGGGCCGTAAAAGCAGTTTAAGTGATGCTGAAAAGAAAACTATTACCTCTCAAAAGGTAAATCTACCCTAGAAAAAAAGTCAGATAGTGGAAAGTTTATCCGAACAATTACCGTGAAAGAAGGAAGAAACGTTCCTCTTGACTTTCTTTTTCGTGGGGTTATCGTCAAAAAACTTTTCTTAAAACAACAATGTCTTCAGGCTTAGAAGCAAGTTTTATTAGAAATTTAATTTAATTTTGATCGGATTCACGTTGAGCTGTTTTGAAACTAGCGTAAAATATTTGCTTTTGCTTTGACAGGACACTTTCCACATTCGGGTAACATTCAGAATCATACTGGTAAAACAAAGTGAGTATTAAGTAGGTCAACCTTGGTTAAAATAAACCAGTTAAGCGTCATACGTGATACACACTTGGGCTATCGCTTTTAGACTTCGACTCAGAACTGACTAGGCAGAAGATTTTTTCACTTAATACGTTACCAATTCTTTCTGAAATAAATTGGTTGCCAATCAAGGCTACAGAACCCAGTCTGTGCCTCTATTGAAACATGATAACAATGAGTCAGTCAGTTAAGTGACTTACGTGATACACTCTTGGGCGATCATGTCTCTTTCGATTCATAACTGACTAGGCAGGTTTCCCCGCTGTGGATTGTCATTTCTTTCTACGATAGACTGGTTACCAATCAGGGCTATAGGACCAAGTCTGCCCTGCTATTCAACCATGATAACAACAGTCGGCCAGTCAATTGCCATACGTGATACACGCTTGCGCGATTATGTCTCTTTTGATTCATGACTGACTAGGCAGGAGATCTTTCCCGTAATATGTTGCCATTTCTTACTGTGGAAAAACCGGTTGGCCAGCAAGGCTATGAAACCTACTCTAAAGAGACGGATTTATACCTTAAACTCAAAGGTATTTGGCAGTAAGTGAATGTACGACCTCGACTGGAATTCGAAATCGGCTCCCGGATTCCTCAATCCGAGCAGCACAGATAGAGTAAAATATCACATGGTAGCATATGATAATTTCCATTTGAAAGAAATAACTGAAATAGAGAATAGAGGGAATGTGAATGAATTCGAGAATAGAGGGAATGTGAATGAATTTGAGAATAGAGGGAATGTGAATGAATTCGAGAATAGAGGGAATGTGAATGAATTCGAGAATAGAGGGAATGTGAATGAATTTGAGAATAGAGGGAATGTGAATGAATTCGAGAATAGAGGGAATGTGAATGAATTCGAGAATAGAGGAATGAAATGAATTTGAGAATAGAGGGAATGTGAATGAATTTGAGAATAGAGGGAATGTGAATGAATTCGAAATGAGGGAATGTGAATGAATTCGAGAATAAAGGAATGTGAATGAATTCGAGAATAGACGGAATGTGAATGAATTCGAGAATAGACGGAATGTGAATGAATTCGAGAATAGAAGGAATGTGAATGAATTTGAGAATAGAGGGAATGTGAATGAATTCGAGAATAGACGGAATGTGAATGAATTTGAGAATAGACGGAATGTGAATGAATTCGAGAATAGAGGGAATGTGAATGAATTCGAGAATAGAGGGAATGTGAATGAATTTGAGAATAGAGGGAATGTGAATGAATTCGAGAATAGACGGAATGTGAATGAATTCGAGAATAGACGGAATGTGAATGAATTCGAGAATAGACGGAATGTGAATGAATTTGAGAATAGAAGGAATGTGAATGAATTCGAGAATAGACGGAATGTGAATGAATTCGAGAATAGAAGGAAAGTGAATTGATTCGAGAATAGAAGGAATGTGAATGAATTTGAGAATAGACGGAATGTGAATGAATTCGAGAATAGAAGGAATGTGAATGAATTTGAGAATAGAAGGAATGTGAATGAATTTGAGATTAGAGGGAATGTGAATGAATTCGAGAATAGAGGGAATGTGTGTGAATTTGAGAAACAAAACTTGGATTGGCCTTTGAGAATTAACTCAACCGAAATCGGACAAGTACAATGAAAATATAGCAGGAAAGTGAATACTTCGACATTTGTGAACTATCTGCGTTTAAATGCAGCGCACATTCTACTAATCACTAGCGAGACAGCATATTGTTTTAGGGCGAGGCTCGTTGTCGTACCTCAGGCTTACTTCCCCGGGGAGGGTTCAACCAATTTAGCGTAAGTCATTGCGAGCAAAACCCAACAGTGTGAAGGAAAATTTTACATACATGTAAAATACAGTTCGAAAGTATTATTTGTCGTTTTTTATGCCTCCAAGAGATTTACAAAACTGAAACAGACACTGTGTTGAAGGTGGAGTAAGATGAGGTGATCGATAAAATAAATCGCCTGTATACGTTTCAGAGGACGGAAAATGCGACACTGAAATCCGAAGTTGCAATGGCATAGCTAAAAATGCATTCTGAGAACTAAGCAGGGTATCATGAAACAGGAAAATTTCTTTAGAAACAAAGAATACTGAACTGTTATGTAATATTAGTCCTCCTATATAACAGTGAATTTACTGTTTTATCTGTATTCACTACCGATACAAAGGTCGACTCCCTGGAGACACAATTATAGGATTTTTACTCACCTTTGGTGTTTTTGATTGGAACGTTAAAAACAACAATATACGTCCAGAACATTATTCAATATGTTCTGCTGAGATTTCTGAAAGGAGGAAGATGATTTACTTTTTCACAGCAGAATAATGCCTGCCCACTTGACACCCGTGCTACTCGACATGATCTACATTTATTATGGGGACAATCTGTATGAACATCAGAATGAAAGATTGCAGAGCTGTTTTAAGGCCCAATGCGGGTACAGAGTTAGTTAATATTTAAGAGGAAGATGATTTACTCTTTTACAGCAGGATAATACCTGCCTACTTGACACCCGTGCTACTCGATCTACCATTATTATGGCGCCGATCTGTATGAGCATCAGAATGAAAGATTGAAGAGCTGTGTTAATGCCCAATGCAGATAAAGAGTTAGTTTATATATAAACAGATGATTTACTCTTTTACAGCAGGGTAATACCTGCCCACATGACACCCGTGCTACTCGACATGATCTGCAATTATTATGGCGTCGATCTGTATGACCGCCTGAATGAAAGATTGCAGATGTGTGTTAATGCCCAATGAGGATAAACAGTTTGTTAATATGGAACATCATCTTGGACACTTTGCACATATCGATTCTGTAGGCTTAATTCTGAATAAACTGAAACCCGTATCTATGGTCCAGCATTTTTATGTCAGTGTATATGTAATCTACACATTTATGATTCACTATTATGGAATATCGGTCGTCCTATATGGAAATGAATACTACAAGAAGAAGAGACTTGAAGAAACAGAAATATGGTTCTACAGAAGGATACTGAGGATAGCATGGACCAAACGTGTGAACAACGTAGATTTAAAGAAAATGGAAACAAAAAGGAAGCATACTTAATATTAGGAAACGAGAGTTGAAATTTTAGGGCACATAATGAGGAAAGAGGCCTTGGAAAATATGATACTCATAGGACAGATAAAAGGCAACTTAAAATATACTGACTTTGAGTAAATGGATAGTGGAACAAAGCTTACGAGAGATAACAAACAAACAAAATTTATTAAGCATTACAACGGACAGGAAAATGTGGAGAGGCATGATCGCCCACTTCATTAACGTTCAAGACGCATAGAAGAAGAATGTGTAAAATGGATGGCGGAACAGGTTTTAGGAGAGATAACAAACAAAATTTATTAAGAACTACAAAGGAAAGTGTGGAGAGCTATGATCGCATATGCCTTGAAGGGACATGTTCAAGACTGTATATTCATGGTAGTGATCAGATAATTGATTCAAGACATTTAATCGATAATAAAAGATATATTGAAAACAATGATTGTTGGGAAGCAACTGAGGGGTTTTTAGTTTTTCTTTTCACTCTGGATTTTGGGAATGGAATCAGCCGTTTCCCTACAAGGAAACATTTGGTATTCATTATCCGAATAGCCAAGTTAACCTTTCGTTTGAAATTCATAAAATCTTTATCTTAAAACAATATCTCGGGGAAAAAAAGAAAATTTAAAGTCCAGTAGCTGTTATCGCACTTTCTAATATTGAAGGAGTTTCCTTTGTAAGATTTTGTTTGAAGTAGTGTGGATATCAACATCTTGATTTTGACAATATTTTCTTTTCGAGTTACAAGTGCTATCCAGTTTAGTTCATATTGCTGTTGGTAGTCTTCAAGTGATGTGGTAGCTGATATGTGGCACAGTGTGATTGTGTAGCACCAGTCCACAAGGTTCAAAGAAGGATGATCTTTGCCAAGACACTCATGTTTCATTATTTTCTCTTTGACTTACATGTGATATCCATTTTAGTTGTTGCTGCTGTTGAAAGTCCTCAATTGATGTGGTTTCTGTTATTTGGTATAGTTCTTTGTTTGTGATTCTGTAGCACCAGTCCACAAGGTTCAAAGAAGGATGATCTTTGCCAAGACACTCAGGCTTCATTATTTTCTCTTTGACTTACATGTGATATCCATTTTGAGTTGTTGCTGCTGTTGAAAGTCCTCAAGTGATGTGGTTTCTCTTATTTGGTACAGTTCTTTGTTTATGATTCTGTAGCACCAGTCCACAAGGTTCAAAGAAGGATGATCTTTGCCAAGACACTCAGGCTTCATTATTTTCTCTTTGACTTACATGTGATATCCATTTTAGTTGTTGCTGCTGTTGAAAGTCCTCAAGTGATGTGGTTTCTCTTATTTGGTAGAGTTCTTTGTTTATGATTCTGTAGCACCAGTCCACAAGGTTCAAAGAAGGATGATCTTTGCCAAGACACTCAGGCTTCATTATTTTCTCTTTGACTTACATGTGATATCCATTTTAGTTGTTGCTGCTGTTGAAAGTCCTCAAGTGATGTGGTTTCTCTTATTTGGTAGAGTTCTTTGTTTTTGGTTTTACAGTGATTCTGTAGCACCAGTCCACAAGGTTCAAAGAAGGATGATCTTTGCCAAGACACTCAGGCTTCATTATTTTCTCTTTGACTTACATGTGATATCCATTTTAGTTGTTGCTGCTGTTGAAAGTCCTCAAGTGATGTGGTTTCTCTTATTTGGTACAGTTCTTTGTTTGTGATTCTGTAGCACCAGTCCACAAGGTTCAAAGAAGGATGATCTTTGCCAAGACACTCAGGCTTCATTATTTTCTCTTTGACTTACATGTGATATCCATTTTAGTTGTTGCTGCTGATGAAAGTCCTCAAGTGATGTGGTTTCTGTTATTTGGTACAGTTCTTTGTTTGTGATTCTGTAGCACCAGTCCACAAGGTTCAAAGAAGGATGATCTTTGCCAAGACACTCATGTTTCATTATTTTCTCTTTGACTTACATGTGATATCCATTTTAGTTGTTGCTGCTGATGAAAGTCCTCAAGTGATGTGGTTTCTGTTATTTGCTACAGTTCTTTGTTTGTGATTCTGTAGCACCAGTCCACAAGGTTCAAAGAAGGATGATCTTTGCCAAGACACTCAGGCTTCATTATTTTCTCTTTTTGACTTACATGTGATATCCATTTTAGTTGTTGCTGCTGTTGAAAGTCCTCAAGTGATGTGGTTTCTCTTATTTGGTAGAGTTCTTTGTTTATGATTCTGTAGCACCAGTCCACAAGGTTCAAAAGAAGGATGATCTTTGCCTTGTGAAGACACTCAGGCTTCATTATTTTTTTTCTCTTTGACTTACATGTGATATCCATTTTAGTTGTTGCTGCTGTTGAAAGTCCTCAAGTGATGTGGTTTCTCTTATTTGGTACAGTTCTTTGTTTATGATTCTGTAGCACCAGTCCACAAGGTTCAAAGAAGGATGATCTTTGCCAAGACACTCAGGCTTCATTATTTTCTCTTTGACTTACATGTGATATCCATTTTAGTTGTTGCTGCTGTTGAAAGTCCTCAAGTGATGTGGTTTCTCTTATTTGGTAGAGTTCTTTGTTTATGATTCTGTAGCACCAGTCCACAAGGTTCAAAGAAGGATGATCTTTGCCAAGAACACTCAGGCTTCATTATTTTCTCTTTGACTTACATGTGATATCCATTTTAGTTGTTGCTGCTGTTGAAAGTCCTCAAGTGATGTGGTTTCTCTTATTTGGTACAGTTCTTTGTTTGTGATTCTGTAGCACCAGTCCACAAGGTTCAAAGAAGGATGATCTTTGCCAAGACACTCAGGCTTCATTATTTTCTCTTTGACTTACATGTGATATCCATTTTAGTTGTTGCTGCTGATGAAAGTCCTCAAGTGATGTGGTTTCTGTTATTTGGTACAGTTCTTTGTTTGTGATTCTGTAGCACCAGTCCACAAGGTTCAAAGAAGGATGATTTTTGCCAAGACACTCAGGCTTTATTATTTTCTCTTTGACTTACATGTGATATCCATTTTAGTTGTTGCGGCTGTTGAAAGTCCTCAAGTGATGTGGTTTCTCTTATTTGGTAGAGTTCTTTGTTTATGATTCTGTAGCACCAGTCCACAAGGTTCAAAGAAGGATGATCTTTGCCAAGACTCTCAGGCTTCATTATTTTCTCTTTGACTTACATGTGATATCCATTTTAGTTGTTGCTGCTGTTGAAAGTCCTCAAGTGATGTGGTTTCTCTTATTTGGTACAGTTCTTTGTTTGTGATTCTGTAGCACCAGTCCACAAGGTTCAAAGAAGGATGATCTTTCATTATTTTCTCTTTGAGTTAAGACACTCAGGCTTCATTATTTTCTCTTTGACTTACATGTGATATCCATTTTAGTTGTTGCTGCTGATGAAAGTCCTCAAGTGATGTGGTTTCTGTTATTTGGTACAGTTCTTTGTTTGTGATTCTGTAGCACCAGTCCACAAGTTCAAAGAAGGATGATTTTTTAGCCAAGACACTCAGGCTTTATTATTTTTCTCTCTGTGACTTACATGTGATATCCATTTTAGTTGTTGCGGCTGTTGAAAGTCCTCAAGTGATGTGGTTTCTGTTATTTGGTACAGTTCTTTGTTTTTGATTCTGTAGCACCAGTCCACAAGGTTCAAGGAAGGATGATCTTTGCCAAGACACTCAGGTTTCATTCGCTCAAATCCGTGTTTTTATCCATTGATCGTAAGAAGCGGTTGTATACAGCTGACAGTTTCGATATTTCTGAACGGGGTTGGCGCCATACATGATATCCATATAAACCGATTGATCTGACGGGGTTATTTTAAATGAAAGCGGTGAAAGAAAGCGAAAGAAATTAAGAAAACCTTGCTGATATAAAAGGGCAATAAAAGAACTCATTATTTAAGGTTGATTTTTTTTTTGCGGGGTCTGTTCTATATTTATTTTCTTTTTTTCCCCCTAATTCATGGCAGTTCATAATTAATAATGGAGACAGTGACAACAATGATTGTCTTGGAACAGCTGACGGGATATTTTTGGAGTGAGTTATTTCCCCTTAATTTTTTTTTTATTCTGAAAGTAATTCGGAGATTGACAATACTGATGAAGACAGTGTATGCCAATGATTTCCATCTGTTAGGCGTCTGATCCCCTCACCCCACGTTGGGACATCGTAACATTTTGGTAGGGCATGCGTAGTAGGGTGACCCTAGAAGCAGGCATGCGGAGTGTGTAGCCGATCCATCGCAATTTCCGTTTCTTGATGTACACCAGGCAGGCCCTTGACTGGAATCCACAAGTGGGTCGACCAAAACAGACTTGGCGCAGAAGTGTTCACGCAGAGGTGAAGGCAGCCGGCACCACAGAGGATGGCCCGGAACTGCGTCCGTTGGCGAGTGTTGTTGCGGCCCTATGTTCCCGAAGGAATCAAAGGCAAGATAGAAACAGAAATGGCGATGGATCGAACACACACCACAAACCTGCTTCTAATGTCACCAGGCAGGCCCTTGACTGGAATCTACAAGAGAAGTGAAAAGCGGGTCGACCAAAACAAACTCAGCGTATGTTGACGCAGAGGTGAAGGCAGCGGGTACGACATGGGTCGAGCTGAAGAGAATCACCCGGAACCACGTCCTTTGGAGAGGTGTTGTTACGGCCCTATTTTTCCTAAGGACTCAAAAGGTATTATGATAAATAAATGATGCATAGGATGTGCAACCTTTGGTTTACTATACCAACAGAATAAGGGGGCAGTTCAAGAATGAGTTATTAAGTGAATTGTTTTTTAGTAAGTCTGAGTGAGAGTGTTAATGTCAATACGTGTTAATATATACAATGCATATACAGTATGTATACATAAAAATATTTTGTGTCTATGTACGTACAGGTGTACTTGGCATACAGGGTATTTTCCCGTCTCCCCACACTCGCATGTCTCGGTCAACAAAAGCGAGGGCGTGATGCATCTCGCTGGAAGAGCCCCTGTTTTGTCGGCCAATCAGCGCGTGTGAGCATTTAGTGAGCATTACAGCATGGGCCGAGCCGAAGAGGATCACCCGGACGTCGAACACTACATATGAAAACAATTTAACCGTTGAATCAATTTAAAAGCGGTCAAAGCCGTGTTTTTTTAAAGAAATGGATGGGGAATTATATTAAACTAGCAGTAGAGCCCGGCGTTGCCCGGGGATATAACAATAAGAGATAGATCAAGTATCGACCATCATAAAGACTGAAAAATAAAATTGACAAAGATTATTGTTTAAGGTTGACGGACACGCATGTCTTAATTATTTTTTTTAAATTTTTTTACGAATTGGTCAAACCCAAACTCAAACAAAAACATTGTTTTCAATCGTTATGAGTCTCTACCGATTGAATAGAATTTTATTATAAACAATTGCCTTGTAAATAGAATTTTTAAAGCATTCTGAATGTAAAAATAAAGAAAACAGTGTGCAAGACAATAAGAAACACTAACTGCCAAAAAAAAGTGAATTTTTGTTGAAATCGTTTGAAAATGTAGTAAATCCGATCCCATATATAAACGAACACACACACACACACACACACACACACACACACACAAACAACCTGGGTTTTATAATAAGTATAACTCGATATGAGTTGTCCCCCTTTCATTCTCGCGATGCCTCTTGATCATGTTTTCAAATTGATTTCGTGCAAAAATAATTGTGTTTTTCCAATTTTTGGCGCTGTCAGAACCACCGCAAGGTAAGTTTACGTAGTCCTGTGAAGTTTTGTTGAAATCGGTTGAAAAATGTAGGAAATCCGATCCAGCATATAAACGTACATACAACACACACACACACACACACACACACACACACACACACACACACACACACACACACACACACACAACTTGGGTTTTATAATAAGTATGATATCAAGACTTCAAATGATTGATTTAATTTAATTTAATTATTTTTAATATAAATAAAGACTGTCATGTTACTGGATATAACTGAAGCCGAGTTGACAGGTCAGGACTGATAATAATGCAATTTTTTTGATTTTGTCGATAATCTTTACATACATAGCAGCAGAAACAGACCAGATGGCGCAATAATATTCAAAGAAAGGAAGAATGGTAGACTTAAAATGTTAAATAGATTCTGGCGGGAGAGATCGTCTGGCACGACACAGCAAACCAACTTTCCTAGCAGCAGATCTATTCAATATAACCTTTCCAGTTTATATCAGTGGAAAACGTTGGACCTAGAAGGTGCAGTGAGTTACTCTCCTCTACGATGTTTCAAGACAATTCGTAAAAGATTATGAGTTTTCTGAAAGTGACGATTACCTTCTAGCAACTGATTTTTCCAGAAAAGACGTCAGGCAAAAACATCTGGGCCCCATCTTGTTTGGCTTAGGATACTATGGGCGCCCACATAGAAAGGAAAAGAGGTAGATTTATCTTCCCCTAAAGTGTTTCTGTTTGATAGACACGTGGACGTGTCCTTTTTGACGTCTAAACGCCAACCACTTTAACTAAAGGAGGTAACGAGAATTAAAGAGGCGAACAAGGGAATTTTAGAGATCAAGCGGCAACAAAACCGGAAATAGTTTATATCCGGGTGCCGGTCTATATTAACCGTTATTCATTGGGTAACGAAGAGTGTGCTGGTTCAACCCTTGGAGACGGACGTGCATGTATTGCGGTTCCAAAACCAGTATTTCGTATTTGAGATCTTACCACGTCGATGTGAATAGATGGTTGAGGAGGTGGTAGGGAGAACAGCTGACTTAGCAGAAGTTGCACGAAGCAGGTGAATCTTTGAATAAAATATACCTCGTGAGCATGCAGCGCACCCTTTCCCCAGCTTCTGGCGAACACAGATGAGACCGAGGAAGGAAATGCAGCGTGGGGTGATCATTGGCCGGTCAGGAGAAAGCTTAGCAGAGGGCCGTATTTACAATCTGATATTTAACTTGTTTTTGTTTTTGGCCCATCATTGCACTTGCTGAGTTATATATCATTCGAAATCCGGGTTATTCGGGTGGAGCTCTTAACACGCCTCCGTCAAAGCCCACCTGACTGAATATCGTATACAGAGGATAGATCTTTATCTGTTTTGTTAAACGATGCTAAATTTTACTGCCTGCTATAGAACATGGGTTTTGGCCAGTCAATTAATCCAATTTAGTCATGTCAACACAAAGAAAATAATGGATAAATTATTATTATTATTATTATTAATAATAATAATTCTATACTCAGAGCAAATTCTAAAACGATTTGAGAGAATATTCTTATGTTTATTACAGATCAAAAAGAATAATAATGACAATGTTCCATCTAAGGGATTTACACAAGTTAAAAACTTTTGAACAACAGCCAGTTATTAAATCAAAGATTTGAAACCACTGTTTTTTGTAGGCATATTAAAGATCTAACTTTAAAATCTTGCTAAACTTTCAAATCCATAACCCTAAACTTTTAAAATTAGAACGCACTTCCTTTGATATACTTTCTACCATCTTATATATCTTCTTACTAATCTATCTTAGATTGCAATTATTAAAAATATTTTTGCACATATATAATACTAGTAATAATGTCAGATAAATTGATTTATATCCATACTTATTCTACAAGTTATACAGTCCGAAAATAGGTCAAAATTTGCTTATAAAAGTTATATTAACATCGTATACTTTTATATACCTCTCTACTTATATATTAAATTCTGAACTAAAACGTATTGCAAAAAAATCAAACAAATAAACAAAAAAACAAATAACTTATATATTCAACATACCAAGAAAAAACGCCCACCTCTTAATTTATTAATTTAAAGAATATATTCATTGATTGCAAAAAGAGTAGCAATATCTCCAGCCTAAGTATGCGTAATTCATCTCTGGCTTTGTTTTAAAGTTACCAAAAGCGTTTCCAATTACTACTACAGCCATCGTCTAAATGTATCCCTCCTTCATTGTTTTACTCTCTCCTATTCCCACCTTTCCTCTCCCACCCCTCACTCTTAGGAGGCTTTGAAGTGCTGTGCCTAAAACCTTGACTGTTGCTGTCTAGCCATCACCTTAACACCTCAACAACCCTTCA